GGAAGGGGTGCTGCTGGTGCAAACAGAAGGGCCGGCCAGCCTGAGCAAAGGGTTTGTGCTCAGTGCGGGCATGAGGTAGGCAGTGCACCAACTCAGCTGCCCCAACACGTGACTGACCTTGTACCCATCACCTTGTAGTGGCCGTAGCTGGAGCTTTGCTGGTGCATGGTTGAGTGTGTGTTTTGGGGCTAGGGAAAGGAGCCTGGGAGCCATTTGCTCATCATGTTGGACCGGAGGAGACAGCAGTGTGTATAGCAAACAAAACCCTTTATTCACAGCACACATTTGGTTATCTTTTGCCTGTGTATTGAACACAAAACCAAACCTCTGTAACTACTTGGTTGTGCTTCTCCTGCATCTTAATCTCAGAAACGCTTCAGGCACCGTTCTCTTCTGGAGGAGAAGGGACAGGCTTATGTAGACTGCAAAAGTTGGTGCATGAAACCTTCAGAGGAGGAGAGAGCCCACTTGCAAGAAACTAGGAAGAGTCCTGCACCTCTTCCTCCTCCTGCAGCCTGCCTTTTCCAAGCCTGATCTGCAGCGGGTAGCCTCTGAGCACGGGGAGCTGCCACAGGACAAGAGCACGGAGTTGTAAGGGTAGCTGATGAGTGGCCACTGTACCAAGGCACAAAAGCCCAGCTCTGACTGCCGCCCAGGCTGTTGCCTGCAGTGCCCCTGTTTGCTGCAAGGGAAAGCAAGTGTGTAGTCACTGCCTTATCTTTTTGTTTTGGGTTTCTTTTAGGTAGCTGAAAATTACTTCTACGTGCCAGATCTGGGCCAGGTCCCTGAGATTGATGTGCCGTCCTACCTGCCAGACCTGCCTGGCATTGCTGCAGATCTCATGTACAGTGCTGATCTGGGCCCCGGCATCGCACCATCTGCCCCTAGCAGTGCTATTCCAGAGCTGCCCACTTTCAACACTGAGTCAGTGGAGCCTTTGCAACCAGGTATTTCCAATCCCTGCTCCCACGACCTTGTGAAGGAGGAAGGCAGGGATTGCTAGAAGATGGAGACAAGGCAGAAAGTCCCTTGGTGGAGATTTCAAGATGGATGTTGGAGATACCTCTGGCTTGTTCTTGGGCCTGAGTCAAAGCTGCAACTTGCTCAAGTGCTGGCCAGACTCCAGGCCCTTCACCTCCCTCACCCTCTGCACGGCTAGGGAGGAGGGGGCATGATGTGCAGGGACTGGCCTCGTGGCAGGATGCCCTTGGGCGAGCGGGGTGCAGCTGGGGAGGGCAGAGTAGGGGAATCTCCAACTCTGCCTTGGCCCTGCCTGCTGTTAAGAGATGCTGCACAGAGTGGGAGTGCTGTGCTGCACGGTGCCTGCTGAGGACTCTGATCTGTTGCCGCTGGGGCATGTGAAGCTCTGAGCTGAAGCTCTCAGTGTGCTGTCCTCTGGGGCACTTCAGATGCAACTTCTTTCATCTTTCAGACCTTCAAGACGCTGAGCTATTGCCGCCTCCTCCACCACCGCCTCCTCCACCACCTCCTGTTATGCCAACTACTGTGCCTCCTCCGCCGCCCCTGCCCCAGCCCACAGCCCCCTCTGAGCCAGCCCGGACAGCAAGCGAGGAGAGCAGCAATGCGGTGCCCGCAGGTAAGGGCTGGGCATCTCCACAGCTTCAGCAGAATCTTACTCTGACTCCGTGGCTTCAGCCTGTGTCCTTGGTTGGTTCCCTATGGCTTCCCAGCCTTCTGGCAGAGGAGAGAAGCTGTGGCGGGAGGGGAAGTGGCTCCCGCCTGCCTGGGAGCTGCAACTTTTCAGTTCCCCCTTGGTGGGGCTCCTGCGGGCTGGGCTGAGTGTAAGTCCGTTACTGAGAGGTGTCTGGGCTGGGGCTCACAGCCCCAGGCAGAAGCTGGCAGGGTATCAGAGCAGACCTTTCCATGGGGATTTGGCTGGGCCTGTAGCTGGTGCACTGACCCACGGCTGCTGCCTGTCGTTCCTGTCCCTGCAGCTTCGGTCCAGGGAGCCCCGAAGGAGGTGGTGAACCCCTCTACTGGGCGTGCCAGTCTCCTGGAGTCCATCCGCCAGGCCGGTGGCATTGGGAAGGCCAACCTCCGCAGTGTCAAGGAGAGGAAGCTGGAGAAGAAGAAGCAGAAGGAACAAGAGCAAGGTGCTGAGGCTGTTTGGCAGAACTGATCTTCCTTGCTCTCTGTCCCAGGCTGGGGAGGTGTAGGTCTGGGGGGAGACGGGCAAGCCAGGAGCACAGTGAACATACAGAGCGGAAAGGGTGTTGCCTCTCCTCACAGGCTGGTGTAGGTCTCAGGTGTTTCCCATTCAGCCAAAGCTCTGTGAACTTGCTAAACCCCATCTGCCAGAAGGGCATTTGTGTTTTGATGGAGACCCGCTCTGTCTCAGGGCATGCGTGGAAGTTTCACGTGTGCTGCATGGGGGCAGACACACACAAAGGAAACCCTGGGGCCAAGAGGGGCAGGGCCAAGCCGGTTTGAGCATGTTGGTTTAGGTAGCTGGGGAGGGTGTTGATGGAGCTGGTTTGGCAGAATGAGACGGCAAATGCCCAGCCCCTCTTGCCCCTCAAGGCATTCCACTCTTGGGTTTCCTCAGAAGATGCCGTTACCCTGCGGTGCCTGGTGTTTTCCTGACCTGAAACTGGAGTATAGTGGGAGAGATTAGGGGTGTGATACAAGATTAGAGGGTGGGTTTTTTTTTCTTTAATCTGAAGGCAGTATTGCAGGCAATCGCTGTAGTGCTAGGTTCAGACTGACGCTTCTTCTTGTCTGACTTGTTTTGCTCTGTTTCAGTGAGAGCAACAGGACAAGGCGGAGATTTGATGTCAGACCTCTTCAACAAACTGGTGCTGAGGCGCAAAGGTACTGTCCTGCAGGGTGGGCTGCTCCTTCCCCCTAGGAAAGAGGGAGAGCCCTTTCTGGCACCTCAGTTGTGTCAACCACAGCCCTAGAAACAGGAATAGAGACACTTTCCCTAGCAAGTGTGCCACAGCGTGGCACATCTTTACAGAGGGTGAGCAGGGGAATCTCCACCTCAAGTCCAGCTGGAGGCACTGGAGGAGGTTGTGTCCCCGAGGCAGAGGACAGGCTCTGAAAGCTACCTGTGAGGAAGGCACAGCGGTGTCTTCTTTTAATTCATGCTGGGGCAGCTGGGCCCTTCACCCTTGGAGGCACCTGAGTTGCCCCAAGGCCTTGGCAGGTACCCAGAGGATTTAGGGCCAGTGTCACCCCTCAGTGCCTGGCACAGGGCAGAGGAGGGCATGGACTTTCTCGGGTGGAGCTTTAGTTAAATGAGCCCTTGCGCAAGGCTGTGGGCTGTTCTGCTTGCCCGAGTCACCTGGGTGCTGGTGGGAGCTGTGGTATGAGGTGTGTTTTTCCCCTCCCCTTTGCTGAGCCTCCGTGTTCTCTAGTCCCCAGGTGTCATCACTGGTGCTTTTCCTTCCCTCACAGGTATTTCAGGGAAAGGGCCGGGAGCCTCTGGAAATCCCGATGCTCCTGGAAGTCCTGCTGGTGCCTTTGCTCGTATGTCGGACTCAATACCACCCCTCCCACCGCCACAGCAGCCCACGGGTGAGGAGGATGAGGATGACTGGGAGTCATAGATGGGGTCAGTTGTGCATCAGCGTGAATCCCAGGACTCTTGAACTAAGCACCTTTGAGAGACACCAGCCTGTGGAAGTACCTCCGGGAGGGTGAGCACTGGCGTGGCAGGGGGACCCTGACGTTTCTTCTTGAAGAAAGCGGGAGCAACAGGAGCTAACCGCTGCTGAGGTTATAGTTACCAATGAGGGTTTTTCTTCTGCTGTCTGCTATTCTCCACCCCAAATACTACATTCCATCTCAAATGCTGCTGCTGTGACTGGTGGCGACTGCAAAAGCATTTCTTGCAGGCAAACAGCCCTTGCCTCATTTGTCTCCTTGTGGCTTGCTTGCTGAAGCTCCTGTTTGCTTGGTTGTTGCTAGAAGAGAAAATGCGAGTGTGTGTGTGTCCCTTCATGGAGGTTTAATTCCTGGTGCCTCTGCACACGGTGGTTTCTCTCTCCACCTGGCTTATGGTAATTCTTTGCCTGTTGCTGCCTGAAAAATGTCAATAAAGTTGAAGGAAGCAGGCCCTTGCAGCCTTTGCTCTGGGAAAAGAGGGAAGCGTGCTCAATTAAGAGTGTCTTAAGGGAAAGCCCAGCTGTCCACTCTCATCTCAGGCAGGCGCTAGCCTTACAACCCAGCACCACCAACCACAGGGCTGGAGGGTACCAGCTGTTAGAAGCAGGCACCCCCCACTCCCGCTGCTGCTTTCACTGGGGTTAAGGCAGAGCTTATGCCAGACGGGGGGGCTCTGCACCCACTGAAGGGGCAGGAAACTCACCACAGAAGTTTCTCAGAAGCAGCTGTTTCTTTCCCTGTGGGGCTAATTAACATATAGGGAGTTGGTACCAGCTCTGTGTCTAATTATAAGTAAGTGCTTTCTCCATTGTGAAGAGCCTCAAGAGGTAGCATCCAGCTGCTGAAACTGGCAAGGAGGGAAAAGAAGCTCCTGGGAAGAGACTTGCTCAGGATGACAGAAAGAGCTGGGGACGGCTGTGGGATTACATAGCCGTCCCTGTTATCGCTGCCCTCCAGCACTGACCCATGACCTAGGAAAGAACCCCAGCAAGGTTACACACACAAAAAAAAAAGAAGTTTTACCGTTTTCCACAGAAAGTTACTTTGAATTCAAAAACCTAGGTAGTAAAAAGAGCAGAGCAATCCTGTGCTTAAGCATGATCAAAGGAGAGGTGCTGTGCTGCATTATGGCTATATCTTTACTCCCCTTGAAAGAATGAACCACTCCTTGAATCTACAGACTGCTTGAAGCAAGGTAGAAAGAAGGGGATAAGAAATGTTACGCATAGCTGCCCCGTGTCTTACCAGTCTGACTGTGTAATTCCAACATGACACAAACTAATGGCCTGATAGTTTACAATTCCTGTGAAAAGCTCTATGTTTTCATTGGTCATCAAGCATCCTACACTTGCTGGCTGATGGGAAAAGGCAGATGTGTTCAGTCAAAATAATTATACTCCCCATACTTAAGTGTTTGGGTTGAAAATATTTAATCGATTTAAATAAAACCTTAACAGCTGTAAATAAATAGGAGCCTGCCGCTACTACCTTCATCTGCCTCAGACCTACAACCAGTTTCCCTCTTGGTTATGGTGCTGAAGGCTCACCATCATAGTGCTCAGATACTGAACAGCAAACATCCGCAAAGGAGGCAGAAGGCAGAGATTCACAAACTAACAACTCCGTGGTACAGAAAAGCAGGAACCTGTGTTTCTTCAGGTGTTCTTCAGTGGTGTAGCGCAGAGTTGACCTACAGCCTGTTCTCTGGTCCGCATTGCAAAGTGCCTGACTTCCCTCGATGGAACTAGGAACACACAAAACCAGACAGTTTGTCCCTGGCCTTACTCTGAAGTGAAGGTTTGAGAAAAGAACAGATGAGTACAGTGGGAAACAGTTTTGGTAGCCGTACATAAGATACAAGTTCTGACCTTTCTTAACTCTGCAAACGCTGCTCCAAAGGCAGGTTTCACCTGGGTTCTCTCCCTGATCCACTGTGGCAGTTTGTTAAAGATGGCAGGGCGTGCGTACCTGTGGTCCAGGAGCAGGATGCTTGCAAAGTCCTTCTGATGGCGAATGGCTCTGCCTGTATGGAGTGTAGAACCACGTTAAAATGGCCCACTCAAGCGTTCGTTCTCAGGCAAGGAAGCTCATGTTCCCTGTTCATGTTCATCTGTACTTAGACTGATTGGTAATGCATCCTTCTTCCCACCCTCTTAGTTCAGTGCAGTCACATTTCGTATCCCCCAGCCTGTCCAAGGAAGGATGAATTACCTATCGACTGGTTTACTGCCTTCATGCACAGGTTTTCAATCAGCACTCTGCTAGGTGCCTGGCCAGCAGGTCTGGGCTGGAAAGGGAGAAACAGGTAAGACTGAACATGAGGTAGATGTAAATCAAACTAGGGAGTCTTAATGACAAAGCGAGGCAAATGCTTTTACCCCTGCAGAGTGAGCGGGTGGCCAAGCAGACCCCAAGCTGAGAGTAAGCGGGAACAGAAGAAAGGTTGCTGTCAGAAAACTATGTTGAACATTCACAAAAAGCCAGCCCAAGCCCCCCCCGAAGGCAGAAAACTCGTCCCCAGCTACCCAGGAACAGCATCTCCAGTGGGCAGTGAGAAAGAACAAGTGAGCCAAGAGGAGAAGTGATCCTGGCAAGCAGCTTCTACCACCCTGCCACCTCCTCTGGGGTGAAAGGACCTTGCTCCCCTTGGAACTCAGTGTTCCCAAGGAGCCCCAGTGGTGTTTCCCTCCACTGAGCTTCCTCCCTGTATTTAGGGCCACCTGTACACAGGCAGCATGGAGAAGCTGTGCTCTCGGTATCACACAGTCTGGGAAACAAGGGCAAGCTCAAAGAAAAAAAAAAAAAATCTTTGAAAGCAGCTCTGGGACTCGTGCTGGGAGGAAAGTTAAAACTAGAAAGCTGAAGTGAAAGAGGCAGAGGTGTAAGTGTCTCTGTTACCATTGTTTTGTCAAGCCAAGTCATTTTTTCCTGGAGCTCTGGAGATTTAATGTTGGGGTAAGGCATTCCCACCATAATCACACACCTGCAAGGGGCAAGGGAGGACTGCATTATTCTTATTGTCTCATCCTAGAGCACTTTGCCAATAGACTGATAAATTAGAGGTCACCGCACCCCTGAAAGACAGCCAGCCCTGAAAACCAAAGGCGGCAATAAAGCACAGCAGTCTGATAAGCACGTTATGAACGGAAAGCTGCAGAGGGATTCAGGGTGCCAGAACGAGGGATTATCTAGCACAGCAAGCCGAACTGCATTACTCACATGAAAAGTACTCTGGACAGGCAGGTTTTGCACCACCCCGCAGGCTTGGTCCCGTTGGTTTAAGCATCAGCCCAAGCCATGTGCTCCCCAGGATTTTCTGTCTATGCAAGTACTGATGTGTCCACCCTGCTTGGAGTCACCACACCACCAGCCCAGTGCTCTCCTTCCAAGGAGCAGCCTCCTTACCTTCCCAGGTCATCAGAGAAGTTGATCCCTTCGCTCATTTTGCCTCCAACTACGGAAAGCAGCAGTGCCCCCGTCATCTGTCCTCCTGCCTGGCTGCAGCGCTGCAGGAGAGGGACCAGCAACTTAAACCAGAGTAGGGAAGATTTCTGTGCTTCAGAAACACTCCCACACCTGGGCTAGAGCCCTCTTCCCTTGTTAAAAGCTGCAATGCTCTCTTTAGCAGCACTCCCATAGGCAGTTGGGATGCCACACTCCCACCAGCCTGCCAGCTCAGCTTACCTTTATGCACTTGGCATATTCCACCAGCACCTGCTCCACCTGGTTGGCTTTCTTAGGCTCCTGAAAGACCTGTCACAGGCACAGTACGTCAGTTGCAGCAACAGGAAGCAAACAGTTTAAAGAAAGCAAATCATTTTACTCCCATGCCATTAAACAGCACATGGAACTACGATCGGGGAAGGGCAAATTGCCCGAAAAAACAGCACCTTTCCCCTCCACCCTGGAAAAGCACGGCTTGCTCACTACAGCACTTTTCAACTGGGCTCTGAAGGGAGCAGCAGCTGCTCCTGCCCCTCCAGCACTCCCTTTCAGCTTTGGCAGGCTTGTCTAATTCTGCAAGAAGTTAAAAGTCATCCGAGAGCTGAAAGGCAGGAAAGCAACGTGCACCTCTTCCATCTACGAATAAAGATCCGGCGGGGTGAGGAGACCCTCCAGCTGCAAGATCTTGGAGGACAGTGACAGGACCAATCAATTCAAATCACCAATTAATTCCAAGTAATAGCTCCCCTTGCCCAGCGAATAAATTAGTTTTCTATGCAAAGCATACATAAAGTAATATTTCTTTATGTTATTCTAGCATGCCTAATTAGTCACTGAAAGCCCCTGAAGTTAATTGAGCTGCATTTTGATAGATGTTGCACCTTGGCCTAAATCACAAGTTGTTTTCCTAGTAAACAAGAGGTGCAACAGCCGTGTCTTCTGTGACAGTAAAGAACCTAAAGGATGTGTTTTCTCTCGGTTAGCAAGAAGTACTATCAAATTTTACCAGCCAGAATCAGTCTTTCAGTAGAAAAATAACTGGCAATTACAAATATAAGCCAAGACTATTTAACTTATTACACAGTAGCTATTTAATCCTCTGATTTAAATTAATTTTCCCTGTGTAATTGATATATAATCTCAGTGTGATGTCACCACAACCACCTCAGGAAAGACTTTAACCTTCCTCTGCTACTATATGATCTTGTGTGTGGGCAGCTGAAAGTCACACTTGCTGCACTTCTACCAAATTGCTTTGCTAATGCATATGCAATTTGCTGGAGACTGCAAAGGCCAAACAAGAACAAATCAGAGTTGAAAGGTAGAGCAAGCTGAGTGATTGTGGCACAATGCCTTGGAGGCACCAGGCAGACCACCGGGACCCTGACAGAACACACCTGAAAGGCACTATGAGTGACAGCTGTACAAACACACAGAGAAGCCGAAGCATAGTGCTTCCACCACAAAAACTTACAGGCAGAGCCATGTGCCAGAATGCCCGCACCAAGGCTGTGAAATACCTGGGACTGTGCTCTCCTAATCCACGCGGTAAGTTATTTACCTTTTAATAAACAGAAGTCACAGCTAGGGGATATGTCGTTCTTTCCCCCCTTCCCCCGGCACACGATCCAAGACCCCTGCCCCACACCCTGAGACAGTCAGGCTGCCTGACCTTCAATACCCAACTTTCAAATACTTGTGAGAGTCATTGCAAAAATTTCATATTTGCAGTGACCTCCCCGTTCAATGTTTCTCATCACTCCTTCAGTGGGAGTCAACCACTGCTAGTCTTTCAATTCTCCACTCTGCACCTCTACCAGAAGAAGAACACCGTTTGTCCTGTGAACTGCAGTCTGGTCCCATTCCGCCTAGCCCTCAGTTGTGCTGGTCTGTGTTCAAGGGGCACACAGCTGAGCCTGGCAGAAATGAATTCCCTGTAAGAGCTCAACCTGAACAGCCCCCCAGCCACACGGGAACAAGCTTGCTGGTTATGGAAAGTC